GGTGGATGAAGACACACTCTGTGGTTTTATTGACAAAAATTGCCATAACAGTTTATCAACAAGGGATGGCCAAGAAATACAGTAAATATCTCAATAAAATGATTTTTTAGGATAAAGGGCTCCTTGCCGTGAATCTTGCTCAAAAGCCTCCCTAACCTGGAGCATACTCAGCCCATCCACGGACAGGACAGGCGTACTTCACTGTTTTTATTTTAAAGGGTCACCGTAGTTTCTCTGCACCCCAGGCCCAAGCCCAGGCCCAGGCCCGCTGCTGTAAGGTCGTGCCTGCCCCTGTGCCGTGGACACTGCTGTAGCTCTGGGACACTTCGTGGCATCAGCAGGAGGTGGCTCAGAGGCCTCCCCCGCCCTCTGCTGTACTGGAATCCAAGCTCCCAACCTCTGCTCTGCTCCCCAGCAACAGGGCGGTGAGTGACCTCGCCAGGACTAACCTCGGGGTGACTGCAGTCACTTGAGAAAGACCCATATCAAACAGCCGTCCATCACAGAAGCAGACCTGGGGGACCACGAGGCAGCTGCTTCCGGCTCGGGCATCAGAGTTTACTCAGCAGGAGGGAAACAGTTAGCAAGAGTGAGTACAGTGAACCCCTCGGCTGGCTGAGACTTGAAATGCTCCCTTGACCTGCGGAGGGGACAGGGTCTGAAGTGGGCTTTCTGTGTCCTTCAAGGAGCCCTTCCTGATGCTCGCACGACTGTTCCAGGCATTCGGTGTAAGATTCACACACACTTTAGAGAGATGCAGTATGCTATATAAAAACAGCTCGAGAAGCAGGGGGCCGGGTGCCCGGCGCGCCTGAGGCCCTGGCTTCCAACTCCATCACTGCAGACAGGCCACCTGTCAAGCAGGAGAGGGACTTCGGGAGGACCAGCCTGAGTTCAGGCAGCTGCTTCTGCCTTGAGTTTGGAGAAATCACTTCAAACCCCCCCCACACACACACACACACACCCGTCCATTTCGGAAGCAGGCGGTTGTCTCCTCCTGCCTCCCCTTGCCCGCCCTCTCTGACCTCAGCCGTTTGGATGACACATTTCCTGGTGGCCGTCTCTGGCTGTGCTTGCCTCCCACCCTCCCCCTCGGCCGGTCCAGGGCTGCACAGGGACAGCTGGCCTCAGGCCCGCGTGGCCAGTAGAGTCTACGCAGTAGACCTTGTGTGCTGGTGTTGAAAGCCTGTTAAAGACAGAGAGCAGGGCGCAAGGTGACCAAAGCATTCGTGGGCACCAGCGCTGCCCGGACAGCGCCCCCAGGTCCCTGTTGTGAGGGTCTCTCTCCGCCACCCCAGGGGCTGCCCAGCCAGGGGCAGCAGGGGAAGAACAAGGCTGCGGACTGGGTCAGCCAGGGGAAATCACGAGTGTGGGGAGGGCAGAGATCTCCAGACCCGGAGAAAACGGGAGGAGCCGCTGTGGACACGTGGCTCCCGCCGAGAGCACCCGGAACCCCAATCAGGAAACGCCCTGGTTTCCCCGGCAGCCTGGGAGGGAGGCGCAAGCTCCTCCCGTTGCCCTGGCAACAGCTTCTCATCTGGGGAATTAGAATGAAAAAGCCATATGCAAATGAGGTAACTTGCAATGAGGGAGAGCGAGAATGTTCGGTCTCTCCAGCTGAGGAGGGGGCGATGTGTGTGCGGCAGACACAGAAGACTCTGTGATCCCAGGCCTGGGGTCCCTGCTAGGGATCTGGGGTCCCCTGGACTTAGGTGTGGGCAGAGGAGTGGTGGTCTGGTGATGGAACCCAGCCCTCTGCAGCTGCGGGGGGGGGGGGGCCTCCTTCCAGACGGAGGTCTCAGCTGCGGAGGACTTAACCAGGGCCCAGGCTCTGCGGGGTGGAGACCAGGCTCTGCACTGGTCTCCCGGAGGTACCCTCCAGAGTCGGCCTCCAGACCAGGCGGCCACCGGCTCGCCCAGAGCCCAAGTGAGGAGACTTGGGCGCCCTGAGCACAAGATTCTTCTCCAAAGTCCTCCAGCCTTCGGACACCTCATAGCTGTGACCCATGCGAAACCTTCCTAACTGCCCTGCTCACCTGCGCCCCTGGGACTCAGGGGGCAACACCAGGAGCTTCCCGTAGTGAGGAAGGCCGCGACATCTGTCATCAGAGTGGACAGAGAAAGTGGACAGTGCCCTGATGGAACTGATGAACCGGCGAGAACTTACACAGAAAAAGCCCTCAAACGCGGGACCCTCGAAGCAGATTCTTACAGCGATGGAAGACACTGCGTTCATCAAACAAGAACAGGACGCACTGTAAAGAGTGTGTCTGGGAACAGGCCAGAGATCCGGCCACAGCGAGGAACAGGGAGAAACAGGAGTGTTGCTTAGGGCCGGGGACACAGCTCAGGGGCACAGGGCCTGCCTGTCCAGCGCGAGGTCATGAGTTCAATTCCTGGTGCCAGAAAGGAAAGTCATATTTCTTAAAAGAAGGAGGCCAAAATGGGGAGGGGGGTGGAAAGAGGAGCATGGGGTCACAGTGCGGGGCACAGCAGTGCTGCTGCCGCCCCTAACCGCCTCGGGGAGCAGATCCGGCCGGTGACCCTCACACCTGCTGCAGCTGGGGGACCCCAGGTCAGAGTCAGAATCCTGCGACACAGAGGAGCTCCACGTGCAGAGCGGTCCCACCAGCCAAGCTGTGATGCCATTGTGTGACCTTGTGACCCTGCATTAGACCCCGGGGACAGCTGGGGGCCAGGTGTTAACTAGGGTGGGTTGTCCTTGTCCACAGCCTCGGGCATGAGAGGAAGCCTCCTGCTGACTGCATTTGCTGGGGCATTTTTTTGTCCTGCACGCAGAGGATCCCGGGCTGAACATGAAACAATGCCCACACCTACTCTGAAGCCGCGGAACCTCAGGTGGACTCCTGCTCCTGCCGCGTCTGCCTGGACCGTTGCCTGGGCTTTGCAGAGATCCCCTTTCCTGGGCTGCGAATAGAAGAGGGGTGATTTTCTTTTTCTTTTTGAGACAGGGTCTCGCTATACAGTTCAGGGTGGCCTTGGGCTCACTTTGAGCCCGGGTTGGTCTTGAACTCGCAGTGATCCTCCTGCCTCAGCCTCCTGAGTGCTGGGATGACAGGAGTGCTCACCACACCCAGTGAGGAGGGGTGATCTTTACCCCGCCGAGGCCAGGTGAGGATCACACGGGTCCCCTCCTCTGGGCATCTCTGTCCTTGTGTCCCCAGAGTCTGAAGGAGCCACTGGTTTGGGACACGGCTTGATCGCTGGAGGGCTGCTAGCAGGTGCCGCAGGTGCCTTCCCGCGGGTGTCACACCCGCAGCCCCCACCACTGGGAAACGGAAGCAAGGAGCTCTGTCAGGTCAGCGGCACCAGAAAGCAAGCCTGACCCTCCGCCCCACCCTGCTCCCAGCTGCTGCCGGGGGACACTTCGGGCAATGACGGTCTGTCTGCAGCTCAGCTGGGCCACCTCCGTGGGGGTTGCACCCTCCAGTCTGTGTGTTCGACCCCCAGAGGTTCAGGGGGCTTTGTAATCACAGCTCTCAGCACCTGTGCTAGCTGTTAAGTCACGCACACCGCTGCTGCGATGTCCAGCAAAATGCTGAATTCTAAAGTCCCCTGCTTCGCTCCTTAAGCGTCCTGTAGTCCCTGCACTCAGGAGGCTGAGGCAGGAGGGTTGCTGCCGGTCAAGAGTTTGAGGCTGGCCTGGGCTCTGCAGTAAGTTCCAGGGCAGCCTGAACTACATCGTGAGAGCCTGCTTCAAAAAGAAAACGTCAAGCAAATGACTTGGGGACTGCAGACTTGGGGGCTGGGGGTCCAAGCCAGGGCCCCACAGTGATGTCTGGAACCCAGTGAGGCCTCAGACAGTGCCTTGAGTTATAAACAGCCTTGTTTTCTATGTGGGCAGCATTGTGTCGCAGGGCAGCCTCGGAGATGCCCACTTTCCATGAATGCAACCCAACAAGATGACCAAGACCAGTTCGGGAGCACCCCACTTTCCGAGCTTGCTACCCCTTCCGTGAGCCCGCAGCTTTGGAAACGATGAGCCAGCCCTCACCATCCTGCACAAGGCACAGAGGTGGGAGGCGCCCTGCAGAATCACAGGCGGCCTCAGAGCAGTGGTGGCCGGGCCCTGGCCTCCCCTGCATTAGTGCCCATCGGTGGCGGGCCGGGTGGGGAAGGCGGGTGCTGGGTTCCAGTCCTCCCCCACAGCTGGGAGCCCTGCTCACATGCCACGTCTGGTGTTGGGGCCTCGTCACAGAAAGCATCAGTGGCCTAAAGGCTGAGGAGGCAGGAGGGGTTGGCCTCAGTTTCCCCTTCAGACGCCCAAGGCAAGCTGGACCCCAAGGCCTCGGAGCCTCAAATCTGGGTCGGGTTTTAGCCAAGCGGGGGCTGAGTTTGGCTAAAGCAGCGGGAAATGTCAGTGCTGCCTGGTGGCACTGGCCCAGACTGACTGCAGGGTCATCCTCCCAGGGTGCTGGGTCCCCGGTGAAACCTTCCTATTCAGGGGGTGCAGAGTACCTGTCAGCCACAGGGTGGGTCATTTCCAGCCCCAGGCACCGTCTGCTCCTAGGGGCTTCGCCAACACAGGAAGGGAAGCCGTAGTTATGACACCCTTCCAGGTGGGTGACCCCTTCCTTGCTGCCACCTGAGAGGCAGCACCTTTCCCCACCACTGTCTGGATGCCTGGCTCCCAGCAGACTAGAGAACCCCACAAAGCCTGGGGCTGTGTCCTGCCCTTCTTTGGCTGAACACCTGAGCTGGCCCAGTGTAATGCTGGCCAGAGAGGGAATAAATGAATGTTTGTTGATTGACTAAACGTGGTCCTTTCTGGGAGGTGCTGTTGTGAATAGTAAACAGGGCCCCATGGAAGTATAGCTGGGGCTTGAGGTGAGGACGGGCCGTGACAAGTAACTCTGATCCCTTTGACTTTGACTGTGGACTCCTGGACCCAAGACAGGGGCAGCTGGAGCAGCAAAGAGGACACTTGAGTCACAGACGATCCTGTGAACTCGCCCTCCGCCGCTGGCGTTCGCTGCCTGTCTGGAAGTGTTCCGGTTCTTTCTCAGCCGGTAGATTCCTCTTCCGGGTCTTCTGTTTCTTTTATATATTTTAATTTTTACTTTGATTAGGGCGTGTTTATAGGAGCTTGTGATGGCGTCCGTCATGAAGGGAGCAGGGGACACAGCTGGTTCCTTCTATTCCCGGCTCTCGGCCCCTTCCCATCTGTAAGAGGTCTGTCTCCTGTCCCCGAGCATTTCTTTCCGTGTCTCCCACGAGGAAGATGACAGACTCCTCCCACAGGAGCGGCCTCCACGGCCGTGGCAGGGAAGGTGGTGCGGCCTGGGCGTGAGGTCAGTCTGTGTTCGCTCTGCTCCTTCTCGGTGGGACCACGTCCCTCGTGAGCCTGCACCCCGGGGATCTGAGTCCACGCCACTCGAGCTGTTGTGAGTAAATGGGTCTCCTCCTCCCCCTCCTCCTCTTCCTCCTCCTCCTCTTTCTCCTCCTCCTCCTCTTCCTCCTCCTCCTCTCCCTCCTCCCCCTCCTCCTCTTCCTCCTCCCCTTCTTCCTCCTCCTCGTCCTCCCCCTCCTCCTCCTCCTCCTCCTCCTCCTCCTCCTCTTCCTCCTCCTCTTCCTCCTCCTCTTCCTCATCCTTCTCTTCTTTTCCGTAACTTGGCAACCTGGAAACTTTCCATCCGCTCCCCGGCACTCTGCCCACACCTGCTAAGTGTACGGCCAGCCCGGACCGAGCAATGAGATCCCTAAAGGTTTTGCATGCAACGTGACCACCGATCAACCTTTCTGTTTGTCCGAGAGGTCGACGGTGTCCGTGCGTGTGCAGGGTGTGAAGGTGGCACCCGGCCAGGACGGTGCTGCCCGGTTAGCACAAAGGCGCGCTGGGAGGGGGTGGCGTTTCAGACGTCGCATCTGGACGTCACGGGAAGGAAAGGAGAGGAGAGGAGAGCTCCTTGAGACGGTATCAATCCATCATTTTCTCGTGGCCAAACACTGCAAAGAGCTCGCGGGCCGCGCTCTCCCTTGAGAGCCGCCCTTGCGCTCCGGAGAGGCGAGGCCTGCTTGATGTCAGGGTCACCAAGGAAACGCTGTATGCTCACCGGCCGCAGAGCAAACACACATGTACACCCCGAGTAAATCATTAATTCATTAATATTCCCGCGGCGCGTCCGGAGAGCTCGCGGGCCCTCTCCTCCCAGCCCTCAGAGTTCTTTCATGGCCAAGCAAACACTCGGCCCCACTCTACGGACCATTATCCCTCTCCTCTCCGCTTCGCTCTCCTGGAGGAGCCCGGGCTCCAGCCCGAGCTGGCCGGATCAAAGGGAAGGTGAGACGCGGGAGGCGCGGCCGCTTTGTCTCGGTCCCCGGGGCTGTGGCTTTTGCAGAGGATGGAAAGTGCATTAAGGAGTTTGACTTGCACTTGAGGTGCTTTTGGAGTCGAGTGCAGGCTGGCTGCCGGCCTCCTCCAGCCGGGACTGTCTGTGTCACGGGGCCCTGCGTGGGGTCGGGTTTGATGGCACTGGGACAAGCAGCCGGAAGTGCGGCCAGCCAGCGTCCGTGTGGACCGGGTGGAGGCTGCCGCCGTGACACGGCACACGCAGGAGCACCCAGCTCCCTCGTGCTGCAGCCCTGGGGTCACCAAGGAGGCTGGCCCTTAGCAGGAGGGACCCTGTCCCAGCCAGTGACCTCAGGTCCCCGATCCCTGCACCCAGGGAGCCTGAGGCTGGGGCCAGCCCTCTCCCACGGGACAGCCTGAGTGCACTGTGTGACCTGTCACAGTTGCTGTGTCCTCGTCTCCTGCTCCAGGTGGCCTTGCATGCGCTGGTGACACCGAAATGGCAAGGGAAACCGTGGCCAGCCAGACCTCAGGGTGTTGGCAACTCCCCCGCCCAGGTGCTGGCCCTTGAGGGTCTCTGTAGAACCTTTGACAAGGAAGAGGCTAGAGCTTCCTGGAGGCCACCTCTTCCTTTAGGCCAAGCAGGACAAATCATCTGTCTCAGTTGTGGTGGCTCCTCAATTTGCTCCGCATGGGATGTGACGAGGAATGCCCAGTGTAATGCCAGCCAGAGAAGAAATGAAGGGATGTTTGTTGACTGACTGACAAAATGTGGTCCCCGCTGGGACCATAAACAGTAAACCGAGTCCCATGGAGGTATAGCTGAGGGGCTGAGGCTTAAGGTGAGGACAGAGGCTGTGACATATAGTTCGGATCAGGGACCAAGAAGGCTTTCCAAAGGAGATGGCCTTCAGGTAGGTGTTGAAGGAAAAAGTCCTACAGAGGCCAGGAAGCCAGGAGCAACTCCTTTGAGGCACGGGGGTGCAGAGGTTCAGAGTTCGGGGCCAGCATCCGGAAGAGGCACTTCCGTCCTGCCCCAGTCCTGTCCTTGGAAGTGCGGCCAGCAGAGGCCACTTGGTGCTGAGCTCAGACGCCCAGGCCTCATCGCTGACCCTCCCCATCCCCAGAGCTGGTGCGAGGTCCGAGGAGCCAGGCGGTCACCAGGCCTGGGTCTCGGGCCTGGGTCCCCCAGGAGGCCGTGCAGAGGCCGGGGAGGGGCCAGCCCGTGTGGCCGTGGCCTCAGTAGCAGGGTCCCTGCATCCTGGGGAGGTGCATCCCCGAGGAGGGCACCCAGAGCCTCGGACGCCTACAGGGCTCAAAGCTGGGGACAGAGCGGGGAGCCGCAGCTGGCCTGTAGCAGTTGCTGGGCCCTCTGTATATGTTTCCGCCACACTCACTTTTTTCTTTCTTTCTAGGTCCTGGCGTCAAACCGGGTCCTCTGCACTGAGCTCCATCACAGCCCTTTTATCTGAGACAGGGCCTCCCTGCATTGCCCAGCCTGGGTGGAGCTTGCAGTCCTCCTGCCTCAGCCTCCCAGGCAGAGTGCCAGGTGAAGGAGTGTGCCACTTCCCCGTTCCACGCTGAGACAGATGAGCAATCCGGAACAGAACAGCGAGGGCCGGTTCCGCTGCCCCAGGCCACACTGGGAGGGGGAGAGGCCACAGGAGGGAGCTGAAAGCCCACCAGCTTAAGCCACTGGGCTGCCCCTCACCTGCATTTTGCGGATCAGGCGGCTGGTTCAGAGAGGCTGCCCGGGGTGCCTGGAGACACACAGCCAGTGAGAAGCCTCGGGGCCCAGATCTGAGCTCAAGTGGTGGAGGGCGTGACGGAGATGGTGGCCAGCTGTGGGTCCTCAGGTCTGTGCCCAGCTCCGAGCTGGCCACGTCCAAGGTGGGGACCTGCCGCCATGGGCTCTGATGCAGGACCTATGGCTGTGCCCAGGAAAGCAAGTGACCAGGGCACTGAGGAAAACACATCCTGTCTGCTCCCCAAAGAGAATGACATGACCAGTGTCCCCTGTCCATCTGCTGGTGCCCACTGGCCCTAACCTAGGCACCTTTCCCAGCTGGAGACTTTTATTTTTGTTTTTGGAGACAGGGTCTCACTATATTTTCCGGGCTGGCCTTAAACTCACCGTGTTGCCTAGGCTGTTCTTGGACTCATAGAGATCCGCCTGCCTCAGCCTCCTGAGGAGCCGGGCCTGCAGTGTGCACGCAGCCCTGTGCTTTCTCAGCTCATTCATGTGTCCTCTTGGGGTCTGAGAAAGGCTGGGCGTGGGTGAGCAGCTCGGGCGAAGTGACTCGGGCCGGCGAGGAGGACATGGAGCCTTCCGCACAGAGAGCCTGCATTCCTCGCCGGGTCCCTGCCGAGCCCTGCTCCGCAGCAAGTCCCCGAGCTGGCAGACAGATGGACGGAGGGACCGAGCTGCCTCCCCAACAAGCACGGGCTCGCTCTCTGCAGAGGCTGAATTCTAACTGACAAATTGGAGAGGTTCCCCGAGGCGAGGGCTCTCGAGAGAGCGCTGTCATCCTCGCTGAAGTGTGATTTATAACACACTCCTATTTGCCAGAGCCGCCTGCTCCCGGGAAGGGCGCCGGGCACGGGAGCAGGAGGTCTCCGAGTCCTGACCCCAAGCTGAGACAGCTCCGTGGACGCGGTCTTCTGGTGCAGAGGGACTGGACCGGGAAGCCTAGACTGACCCGTGAGGGGCCACCCAGTTCATTAGGACAGGGCAGCAGTGGCCTGCAGCTGGCTTTGGGGTTCCGTGTTCTGGTGGACAGATCTAAGGTCTCACGGAAGAGGCGGTTTGGAGCTGAGGTGGTGTTCAGTGGCTGACCTTGGGGTTTAGTGCCCGGCCCCAGTGTAGCGGGGGCAGGGAGAAAGAGACTGAGGAAGAAGGAGGAGAGAACGGGGGAAGAGCTTGTGTTCCCCAGCAGCTGGGGCTCCCCGTAACCTGAGGGTGACGCGGGCAGCATCAGATCCCAGGCTCTGCGCCTGCAGCCCGGACCCTCACAGCGCCTGTGAAGCCACAGGAAAGCAGGGGCAGCGGCTGACCCCTCTGGGCAGCCTGGTGGAAGCTGCCACCTCATTTTGCCCGAGATAACCAGAAACACTCTAAGCGGAGTGGGCAGACCCGGATTTGATCTCCGCATCTGACTGTTTAGCAGAAGTCAAGCAGCCGATTTTCAACAATGTCTTCCGTATCCTGCAACTTCCTAAAATCTCCAAGGGCGTAACCTGAGCTCGTGAAAACTGATCTCGAATGTCAGGGGGCCACAACCGCCCTTCCGAGTTGGCCCTTCTGAGTTGTAATTAGGGACGTGGGAGCGGCCTTTCGCATTTGACTTGACACGGCTTTTCCTCTGTTCCGCTGCTTTGGAGGGCGTTCGCAGGGTTTCACCATTTCTTTGTTAAAAGAAACAGCTGAAAAAATAAAAAAGAAAGAAACAGCTGAAACCCCGTATTTATAAAATAGTAATCACATAAACTGCATCTGTGTAGCACGGACGTTCACTGTACCTCCTTGGCATGTGTGTAACAGTGGTGCTGGTTTTCGGCTGGCTTTCATTTAATGGTGCCCGTATCTGAGCTTCAAAGCTCCTTGCTCAGAAGCGCCAGTTAAGGACACACAAGTCCCAGGAGTCACAGATTGCCACAAGGGCTCCAGAGCAAAAGATTGTGCTAAGAGACCCCCAGTGTCCAGGGCCTGCAGCGTCCACAGGGCTCTGATTGGGCTGCAGGTCTGCACCTCGTGACCACAGAAGTGTGGATGCTTTAAAATCCCCACAGAAGGGACCTGGCTCTGGTGACCCTCCAAGACCCCTCTCCCCCGCCCCCCAGGGCTGTGGCTCTGGCCGTGGCTGACCTTAGAACCCACGATTGTGAGCACTGCCAGCTGGCCTGTATCCTGTGCAATGCTGGCGTCACCCACTAGGTGTCAGTAGCCACCTCCCTGCCCAGGTCTGAAAGCCCACAGGTCCCCAGACTGCCAAGTGTCCTGGGGGGGGGGGCTGTCTGCTCTAGAGCTCGAAGAGGAGCTCGACACACTGAGCTACTGGACACTGCTTGAAGTCATCGCCTGAAAACCAAAAATTGTTCCGATCAGCATCATCAGTGGACAGGGCCCAGGCAGGCCAGATGGCAGGATGTCGTTTTTGATGAGCAGCACGGAGACCTGTCCAGGAGGCTGCTCAGCAGGGTCCCCATGGCGTCCCTGTGCAGGTCGGGCTGAGCCCTGACTTGGGTTGGGCTCCTCCCTCTGGCAGGTGGCTCTGAACATGAGCCACCGTGTCACCGTGACGTGCTGGGCCCAGGGGACAGACTTTACCTTCTTAGGGAAGCAGGGGCAGCAGACACACGGTGGGCTCGGGTTGGCCCGGGGTGGGGTGGGGTGGGTCCCAGGACTGGAGCAGAAAGACCCCTCTCCTGCTTCTTGAAGGGTACAGGGCCTCTGAGCCGTGTCTGACCGGGATGGGGACCAGACTGCTCCGGGCCGCTGTGGCCAGGAAAAGGGGTGAGCTCGGGAGCTGAGCACCTGGCCCAGGTCCTGCTGGTGCGGGACCCCGGCTCCCGGGGCCCCAGCGAGCCCAGGCACCGTCAGCCTCCTCCACGAGAGCCTTTCACCAGCGGCCACCAGGGGGCACCCGGCGGCCCCAAATGGCCGCTGCGGCTGGAGTCAGGCCGGTGGCTTTCTGTGCTCTATGCAGTGCAGGGTCCTCCGGGCCGGTCCTGGGCTTTTCTGCAAAGCGGCCTCGCTGGCCTCTGCGGTGCGGCCAGCTCCTCACACGGTTTTCACAGCACAACCGGAGCTCCCAGCACAGAGAGCCGGGAATGCAAGGAAATGACCCACAGGGAGTAAGCAGTACCCGGGCTCTCGGGGCCCTCAGGTGTCCCCACCCCGAGTCCCCCAAGCAGGTATTTCTTATGACACCAACACACATTGCCTCTCATTTGTGTTGAGCTCTGAAATCTCTCCCGCCGTTTCATTTCCTGCGTCTGAGATTGACGTCTTTGAAGACCGCTAGACCGACACAAAGAAGTCTACTGAAACCTGGGCGTCATCCTAGTGCTCTGGGAGGCTGAGGCAGGAGGATGCAAGTCTGAGCTCAGTCTGGGCAATTTATTGAGCTCCCGTCTCAAAAAGAGAAACCGTTAAAAAGGGCTGAAGATGTGTAAAGGCACTAGTTTCAAACCCAAGATAGAAAAGAAAGAAAGAAAGAAAGAAAGAAAGAAACACATTCAAAACCAACACCCTAATAAAGCCTCTAATCCCGAAAGTGAAGAGCACAGAGACGTGTGACCGCAGAGGGGCAGCCCGGAGCTCCCAGGAGACCCGCTCCCACCCTTCTGCCCCGGCCTCGCCTCCTGACACCCCAGTCCTGTGCAAATATCTCCTTTCCCGGAAGCCTAGGTTAAAAAAACGTTCAAACCGTCAATTACTACACTTTTTTCCCTCTGGGTGTCACCATCCTTGGAGGTGGGATGGTGGTCACCCAAAAGTAACAGAAATAACAGAAAGCCAAGCTGGGAGGAGCCAGAGGATGGGGACAGTCACTCTAGATGCATGTCCACCCTCAGGGGCATCCAGCCCAAGCCCAGATGGAGCTGTGTGGCCATCCCGAGGGGGCAGAGAATAGAAACTACCACGCATTTGAAGAGAGGGGACATGGCATTTTTGGAGTAACAGGGTGATCTCAAAAGTAGGGTACTGTGCCGGCTAACACCAGAACACTGCTCACCCTCTGCTGACTGCTCACGCTGACCACCGTCCACCCCTGCCTCTCAGGAGCACCCTGAGCCCCTCCGAGGTTGCATGACATTCCCAGGTCACACGCAGCACTCAGGTAGGGATCTGGACACGGGCAACTTGACCCAGAGGGGCCCAACCACAGCCTGGAGGCACGAGCCTCCACTAGAAGGACCAATAAAATAGTATCTTCTCTGGGGACTGGGACCAGGGTGATCTGGGCTGGCCGTAGGGAGCTGGAATAGCAGTTTGCTCTTGAGTCTGAAACGTTTTCACTTGTGATGTATCTTCATAGACATACCCTTCTCCCAGATACCATGAACCCATTTTCCCGATGAAGAAACGGAGTTCAGGAACTGAGTCAGGGCTGGTGTGGAGCGGCTCCTTCCCCACCTGGGAAGCCACGGGGAAGGCTCTGCTCTGCACGCTTTACAGGAATGGAGCCAGGACAATGGGATGCTCATTCCCCCGATTCCTCAGTTTGGCTTTTTGAACTTTCTGTTCCCAGTGGTCAGCTACAGTCTGGAAGTTACATCCAGAAATAAATGGCTGCTAAGGTTTGGTTTGGTTTGGTTTGGTTTTTTGAGACAGTGTCTCACTATGTAGTTCAGGCTGGCCTTGAACTCACTTTGTAGCCTATACTGACCTCACACTTGCTGGGACCCTCCTGCCTCAGCCTCCTTCCTGAGCGCGGGGATTACAGGCTTGCACTACCATGTCCAGTCTTGGCTGCTAAATTTTAAATTGCAGGCTGTTCTGAGAAGCACAAAGAGACTCGTTCTGTTGGGGTGCACGTAGCCAGGAAAGGCACCCTCTTTTGCTGCGCACCTGTTCTGGGTGACACCATCCCTGCCCGCTCAGCAGCTTGGTGAGCAGATCCTGCAGCGGGCCATGGAGCTGGGTTCACGATGCCTGAGTAGGAGCCCACACCACTCGCCCACAGCTCCCCTCACTCCGCTCCACAAGCGGGCACGGTGTCTTCCTACGTCAGCCCCAGCGAGGGCAGGACACGAGGACATTTTGGGAGAAACGGTGTGTGCACGGCTTTTATGACAGAAGTCTGATGTCGTATTGGTAGTTAGCTGCTTGGAGGGCCTGATTTATAAGCTGAACTTCATTTTACGTTTGTTTAGGAAAACATGGTGGCGTCTGACACTCTCCCCGGTTTCAATCAGCCGCTGGGGCCCTTGGAGCACATCTGTCACACGTGAGGGCACGATGGTGCCTGCCTGCTGTGTGTCACTCCCGCCAGTGGCCAGCGGCAGCCAGTATTTACATTGTCCTCTCTACTTACTGAGGCTGAGCCATGAGGTCCGTCTGGGTGCCCACCGGGTGACGGGCAGAGGGTTTAGGACTCACATCTTTTCTTTGTTACTGTTTTGGTGTCAGGAGTTGAACTCAGGACCCCGCGCTTGCCATGCAGGCGCCGTGCCCCTGAGCTAAATCCCCGGACCGGAACTGCATCTGGGTGCCACAGCTCTGGGGCACGCCGCTCCTCTGGGCCCCTCCACCCGCTCTGCTGTCTACCTGGCCGCCGCCCAGCCCACCCGCTGAGATCCACAGCTCCCCGGCAGGAGTCCTGCTCGGAAATCGCTCAGAAATGTGTGGTGTGGGCTGGGTGTGGTCAGGGAGGGAGCTGCTGCCTGGCACCGGTGGACCCAGAAAGAGAGGAAGGAAGGAAGGAAGGAGGAGAGAGAGAGAGAAAGGAAAAGAAAATAGAACAAGAGGAGTGAAAGAAGGAAAGAAAGAGGAAGCCTAGGAAAGCGCTGGAGGGAGAAGCTCATTCAGGGCCCTGGTCCCGGGGAGCCGGGAGGGAGGAGGGATGGACCCCAGAGCCGCCCGGGCAGCGAGCCAGAGCAGGGCCGGGGTGCGATGACCAGCCTCTGTCCCGGGCGGGTTTAGCGGAGGGACCGTCCCTGTCCTCCCGCTGCCCTGTGCCCTGACCGCAGCTCCGAGCTCCCGGCCTCCGCCCGCACCGCCACACCGCCACCTCCAGGCCCCGCCGCAGTGGACACCTCGGGCTGGCCTCGTCCTCCGCCTCCCCCTCCGGCAGGGCAGCGCGGGCTCAGCAGCACCTGTCCTGCCCCCCACGCCCCACGCCCCACGCAGGCCTCCTCTGCAGATGCAGCCGCTGGCCCTGCTTTCCGGCCCGTGGAGGAGCCAGGCTGCCCGGCTGGGCACTGCTGGCCTAGGACCAGCGGCTTCCGGCGCTGCCCCCCTGGAGACCGTCACGGTTTTTATGCTGTACACAATCAGATTTTATTGGTGCATTTTAGGTGCACACAGTGGCCCCATGCAGCATAGAGAATCTGTCCCTGTGCGTGACCTAACCTCTTCCCCATTCTCCTCCCTCCCTTCAGCCCCTCATCCCCTCTCCATTTACAAAGCTTTTCCCCTTCTTTTCTCATTCAAAAAAATGTTTTCCTCTCTTGCCTTTCCCCCCTCACTCCCTCGTTCTCCCCATTTGAACATTTTCATCCTGTTTCATAGTATCTATTAGACACTGTGGTCCTTATTTACACCTTTGGTTTCTCACACCAGAGAAACATTGTGGTCTTTACGTGTGTGTCCAATTTATGTCATTAAGAGAAGGCCCTCGAGTTGCACCCATTTACCCAGAAACGTCCCGGGCTTCTCCTTCTTTATGGCAGAGTAGTACTCCACTGTGCCAAAGAACCATATCTTCTTTACCCTTCACGGTTGGTGAGCA